TTTTTTACGCGAGCATATTTAAGGCGAGTTCAAGGCACTTGGAAATCGCGTCGCGCGCGCTCGTCTGACCGCTGCTAAGGAGTTTCCACTGAAATTCTCGTCCCGGCGTGGCGTCGATGGTGGTCGAGGATGTTGGAAAAGACGGGGCAACTATCGTTTCTTCGTTTCTCGATTGAAATCCGCAGGTGAATTTTTTTCCACCGGCGGTGTTCGTTGTTTGCAAAGAGGTTTCTCTGTACTTACCGGAGAATAATCCCGATTGAATTAGCCGAGACACTCCTGCGACAGATCCTGGACGGTTCTTTCAGGAATTGTACTGTTGTATTACGTGTGTATGTAACTCAGATTGTGTTAATATGAAACATGAAATGTTACGATATTTCTTCACACTCATCAGGTTGGTGTATAGCAATCAAACTTTAATTATGTGTAGTTCCTTCTAAATTTCATAGATTTAGAAGAATTTCTACGTCATTGTAATTTTTATTTTATTATTAAATTTGTAAAAATTTTCGAACGGAGTTGTTATGTGTACATTCTTAGAATTTCCAAGTAATTTGTGAATTAAAAGAACTTCTTTGGTCTTTAATCTTTTGCGAATGTTTCACTTACGCGCGTTTGTTGAAGCTTCAATTCGCGTGTCTCGCAAATTTTGATTCCAACGAAGTTTCATATTTTTATTATCGAATTTTCTCGACGCTGAATATATGTTGTTTTGTGCAAAATTTCTGTAGTCTTTACTGTAGTTACATTCAGCGATAGAAGAAAATTCAATGAGTATCATTGGCGTGCTAATAGTAAACTTTAAGAGAACGAAATTTCATTTCTACCAACCTAATACAGAAAGTCGCTGCCTGTATGAAACATTTCACTTTTAAATGTGTGACTAACTCTTAACACTGACATGACGTTCTTTTTCGCATTCAACAGTACAATTCCGTGCGAAATTCCCATCCTTATCGATGACCAGAGCCCCTGAAAACAGAAATTATCAACGGTTAGACGATAGTTCTTGGAATTAGAATTAGATTAAGTTGTTCGTCATCGAGGTGATAATTGAAATTCGGTGAAACACTTAGGCACTTAAGTATCATTAAATTACTTCTGTCGTTTTATCATCGGCGATAAAACTTCGAACGTGTGAATGTTTGCGCAAAACTGCAGACTGATAAGACTCTAGAAGAGATTGTTGCACTTGTTAACAATTCTTTGAGATTATTAGAGATTTTGATGTAATTCAATTCTTCGGTATATAATTATTGATGATCATTAGACTAACCGAAGATGATTGAAGAATTATTAATAATTTTTACTCTAATAATTTAACTTTATCAATTTACTTCGCTTATTCACTAAATTCTAATTATTAAATTAACAACTATTGACGTTTCAATTCTGTATTGAAACTTCATTGTTTTCACCAATTCCTTGATATATTAATTTAACAATTTAACGATTCATTAAGAATGTGAGATTAAGAACGTCTGGAGAATATCATAAGAATTTGCGTTTCAACAATTTCGCACAATATTTCATCGAAATTCAACACTCTGGAATAAATAATCGATAGAATATTCAAAAGCATCGGATGACGAAGGAAGAACACCGGCGAATCTCGGCGAACCGCTATTTTATTCGCCGGCTACGTGAACTCTACGCTTCGTTTTATATTCTAATTAATTAACCCGCCTGTTTCGTCTAGATCGTTTCACGAATATCGAGATTATTATTTATGAGTTTACAGACCAGCGAGCACGGAGCACTTTTGATTAGAGTTCGCATACACAGCGAATCTGTGTTCTTAAATGCACGTATATATTATACATATATATATATATATATATAGACACACACCTCTGATCAAAAATACTGCGACAATTTTTAATTTTTAATAATCGTCAATATTTGTCATAGACAATAAAATTTTTAATTGCATGTATATAATCATGCCAACACTTCACAAATGTTTGTTCAAATTTGAACTTCTCTAGATATATTGAAAAATTCTCTTTCAAAGATTAAAGTTTCATCTTTACAATGATCTTCCAATACTTGCCGGTTTTTTTTCTGTCACTTTCTCAATTTTAAATATTAGGGTTAAATTTGATGTCGTTTGATATTCAAAGTTCGATAAAATGATGAAGGAAAAAAGTCGTAGAAATTCTAGGGAGAACTCTCGTTTTAAAGAGAAAATTTCAAGCATCATGGTGCAGTCATGCAAACATTCTCGAAAAAAATTTCTCAATGTTTCTAGAGACGTTCGAATTTTCACAGTTCTACTTCTCCGCTCATTGTATGGTATAAAAAACGAACTAAGAACTGTCAAAGTAGAGGATTTATACCATAAAGTAAGACCAAGTGGATGGTTATGTGATTTTCGATCAAGTTTAAAACGTCAACCATTTTTCATCGTTGATTATATTACTCTGCTGTACTGTTACACCTGTTGCAAGACTTTTTTAGTACAGGTGTACATAAATACACGATCAACGTGTAACACAACGGCGGTTATGAGTATTTCGCAGCGCTCTGATTAGTACAATGAAACCATGAACGGCCACCTCGTCGGCACGTTAATTAGTTTGTATCGGCTTAAGCTTCCTCGGTTTTCAGCGTAGTTACGTTTCATTGTACCTTTTATTCGCCTTTTACGAACCAATAAAGCATCCGAGCGTCGCCGCCTCCGCTAGAAATTCTCATAATTAAAGAACACAAATACGTTACGCGCGATTCTTCCATGTTAATGTAGCTGTTATATCCAATTAAGCCAGACAGCGTGACTGCATCAAAAAAATAAACATTGATCGATGATCGAATGCGAAACAGTCGATTTTATCTGACGGATATTTTGCAAGAAAGGTTTTGCGAAAGATGAGCTCCAGAGAATTTTAGGTCAGGTTTGGGTTTAGATATCAGAAGGTGAATTTTTTTAAACAATAACGGAATAATATTTTGGAACTAACAGTTTGGAGTAACATTTAATAATTAATTTGAAATATAATAGACAATTGAGATAGATGTTTTGTGAATATTTCGGAATTTCTTGACAGAGATGATCGATGTAAATTCCTGACCACACTGGTTTATTTTTTATTGAGTTTGTTCAGTAATTTTCAATTTGCAACGATAAAGTATACCGAGAGGAATTGAAACGCAAAGATAGGCGACAATTGACAAACGTCACGTTCTTAAAAATTTCATTCTCCCGACTCGAGACTGAATGAATTAATACGAAATGAATTCTTCATTTATCGAACATTTCTTTGAATATTGACGATAACGAGTGAAGTTGATCAGTTTGAAATAATGAAATGTTTGCTTATTGTTGGAAGAGTTAGCAAGCTAACGAGAAAGATGAAGAGAAGTATATATCGTTATGGTGTAATACACGCGAGCATGTAATACCGATTCTGTTATTATAATTAATTAGTTAAGGATTTAGCATCCATAAACATAAGCGATGCAAAATCATTACGATTTCGCATTGATGATGGCCGGCTTAATAGCTTTGTTTTCCTAATAGCCAGATTACACGTTTGTGCGTTGCATCGTTAAAAAATACGAGTTCATTTGTGTTTGATCTAACGGAGGCACGGACTTGGTTTGAAAGGATACCACACCTAGGTTTGCATAAGTGATCAGAGATAATGGCAATGAATCATCGGAGGTAACGATTTTCATCCAGTTTGTTCGCTTCTTTTCACATCGTGCGCGTTTTAAAATGTTCGCTTTATTCGAAAACATTCGACGCAATAAAATAATGTTTCAGAATGATATTTCATATTTAGATGTTACGTGTATAAACGATAATAAACCATAATTTCTTTTTGGGTTAAAGAGTTGTACGAAATGTAACTGTGTGGATGTGAAGGGCTTGTATATATATGTCTATGTGTCTATTTACATATTTACACTATTTACAATTGGTGCGAGGATGGTGGAAGAAGATGAAAGAATAAGATCTAGGTGATGGGTAAAAGGTGAGGAAAGGTTATGGCGTTTCGTCTCAGAGTCGCTGCCTAGACTCATCCAGTGGGGCTGATGGCAGCGACCCCTTACCCCAGACGCTTGTTCTAACTACTCGCTAGGCTGGACGGTCATCACCTATCCTAGCGGTGTTCCGCACTCTGTTTGCTTAAACATCGAATATCGTTAGACTTGGACGCTAGGCGCACAGCCACTTGCGACTTGTGCAAGTCGGTGTTCGAAACTCGTACTCGAGGGACTCTAGGCCGATGAATTATAAAACTGCAGATATGGCAGTTGCGCACGAAAGTATTCGAACGCTTGTAGGGAATTTTCATGAATATATATATATATTAAATATGATATATGTATTTAATATATATATGTTTAAAACTTTTAAGACACGTTTTAATATCCTATATCTATCTAGTTATTAATCAAATTTTTCCATGCATGTTTTATGATATTATTCTTGATAATATATTTTTATATATAGTATTACATACAATATTAATATTGTATATATATAACAATTAAAAAATAATTTAATAATTTTATATATAGTAGTATATATAATATTAATATTGTACATATAACAATTAAAAAATAATTTAATAATTTTATATATAGTAGTATATATAATATTAATATTGTATATATAATAATTAAAAAATAATTTAATAATGTTATATATAGTATTACATACAATATTAATATATTTTTTATATATAGTATACAATACATATATTTAATTAATTTTTGACATATTTAGTATACTCAATTTTTCCAATTTTGAAGCAGGTATAATACTCGTTCTAAAGTAAAAAGTAATTTGTAGTGGGTCTTGAAAATCGTCTTTGTTATTTACTTCGTAAGTCATGGCGAAGCAAACTTCAAAGAGTAAAATTAACCAACAACATTCTAATCTACGTTGACCAGTTATTTTTCATTCTTCGTTGCTTCCTTGTTTCTCGATCCCCTATCACTTTTCTCACGCGTCTGTTTCCAATTTTTACGTTTTCGTGGTCGGCGAAATGTCAGAGTGCAAGAGAGAGAACATTACCAGAGACAACGATCACGATCGCACGAAGAAAAACGAATATGACGACGAGGTGAAGATAATAGGAAGCGAGAAGCGTTGCAAGCTGTGCAAAGAAGTAAGTTCTGATCCTCGATTAGGTTATGATTGGACTGCGGATGTTTCACGAATACGAGAAACGAAACGAAAAAATTGCTTCATTTGCCAAATAGATTATAATATAATATAAATACTACTTTGAATTATAGTTGCACATATTTTTACACATTGTATGCATCTAATTCTTAAATTATACGTAGACTTCAAACGGCAAATTAATGTAAGTTACATACAATAATTATTTCAATGCTGAAAATGGACTTTCACTAGATTCATTTAATATCAATCAATATATATATCGATACCAATATAATTATTATAATTAAAAATTATAAACCGAACAAATGCACGAACCGTCCTTTGTCCAATTACGATAACGTCCATGAAAATACTAGGCTAAAATATTCGTTTCGACGAATCGTCCTGCTATATCGGTAGTATCACTGTTCTCTATCTGCTGATTGCATAATTCATTACATAAAAGGCAACCATTTCTAAACAAACGGACGACGCAACGTTTTTCTTTCCCATTTTCTTCCCTGCCCCTATGTCCTTCTCTTACTCTTCCCTACATTTCTTCCCCTCTTTTCTTCTATTTTTTTCTTTCTTTTCTTCTATCTTTTTCCTACATTTCTTCCCCTAATTTCTTCTATTTTTTTCTTTCTTTTCTTCTATCTTTTTCCTACATTTCTTCCCCTCTTTTGTTCTATTTTTTTTCTTTCCTTTTCTTGCTTTCGTCTCTCACCTTACGTAACAGAGCGTCGAGAGTCATTAAAACGCCGTTCGTACCTCGTTTCGCGAGCCGGCTCCGCCATTTCTCGCGGAAGCGTTCGCGCGAAATTATCTAATATCCTGCATATGCAATGTCCAACGAAACCGGCGAGATCGCGGCCGGCGATCACGTCGAGGGAAACCGCGCGTTGAACATGAAAGTCCGCAAGGGATTTCAGAAATCCTCTTGCTTCGAATCTGAATCATCGGGCGACGATGCGTTTCTGCAAAGTTTCATCGAAGTGGTCATAAAAATGGAAGGAGTACGACGCTTGAAGTTAACTGATTACGCGTTTGTAAACCAATACTGTACCATATATAATTAGTACTGTACTATACTATATATTAAAAATATAATTAGTACTGTACTGTACTATATATTAAATATATAATTAGTACTGAACTCTACTTGGTACTATACTGTACTATACTATACATTAAATATGTAATTAGTACTGTACTCTACTTGGTACTATACTGTACTATACTATATATTAAATATATAATTAGTACTGTACTGTACTATACTATATATTAAATATATAATAGTTGTATTATATTAGTTCTTTCTTCTATCGCAGAGTTAATACCCGCTAATCGTTAAAAAATAAACTAAGTGAATAAACGAGTTTTTCTATTTGGCGACAGATTAAAGTCAAGACTGAAGTGCTCGACGAGATCGAGAACTTCTCGGCGAACGACGAACTGGACATCGAAGTTCCTCGAGAAATTGAATCTAGCGAGAGAGTAAAAAAATCTCGGGATCTCGGTAACTCGTGCGAGAAAGACAGAGACGCGAGAGGGAGAAACTTGCCCTCGGTTAAGAAAGAAATTACGCCGGACGAGTACGTCGATTTCGAAGAGTACGTAAAGGCATTGACGACAGGAAGAAAGTACATATGCAGCGTCTGTAGGATAGAGTTCCCCGACGAGGCAGAGTTCAATACGCACATGATAAGCCACAGTCATGGGAAACTGTTCCAGTGTGGACTTTGCGCGAAGCAGTTCTCATGGTAACGTATATACGAGTTACTTGGACGATCGATTCTATTTTTTTCGAAAAAAAAAAGAATTCTCCACTTTGGCAAATGAAATGTATCATGTGATTAGCAGACTGCGGATTTTTATGCACTTTGGAGAAATTTAAAGGTGCAACATAGAATGTAATGTAATTTACGAAGATATAGAAAGTATCCAAGATACCTGTTATTATATATTCAACATATTTATAATATATTTAATTAAATATAATAGTTAAATAATAATAATTAAATATAATATATTTAATTGACGAGACAAACTTTTATCTAGGTTCCATCGTTTTTAATTATTTTCACAAAATTATGTATCTGTACGAAAACCCGCAGTGTCTAATGTTTAATGCCTTATTATTTAGAAACTTGTTGCAGCTATGAAAGTTTGTTGCACTGTTTATGCAATAGTTACCATTGCGTAGGATTTTTTTTTACGATCCTAGCGATAAATTTATTCGTGTATTTGAAATAACATATACATTAAATAACACAGAAGATAAAGAAAATATTATATCTCGTACAATTTCTCAAATTGAGCCAATTTTGCAATTGTAATTTGTTTCCAACCGAGTCATAAACATTCTCTCACAAAAGAAGTACTGAGAAAAACGAATGAATTTAAATCACCTTAACTTTTCCAAGTCAGACTCCAGAATTCAATGCTCGATAAAATTTCTCGTGAATGATCCAGGTCGTCAGCCCTGAAGCATCACCTGAAGTTACACGAAACGTTGGAAACCCTCGTGTGCCGGCACTGCAACCTTCGATTTCAGGTATGTACGCTCGCGTTTCCACCGTTTTCTTTCCGCCATCCGGCGTGGAACAGAAACGGCGGGGGGGGGGGGGGGGGACAAGATCGACACCAGTCTTCCAGCAAAACGTGATCAATTACCGCGGCGACTCGATTCGAATTCCAGCAGAGGGACCAGCTGAAGAGGCACCAGAACGAGGTGCACTCGAGCCGCAGGTCGTTCGAATGCGGCGTGTGCAAGAAGAAGCTGCTCCATCGGCAGTCGTTGCGCGATCACAAGCTGATGCACACCAACGTGAAGCCGTTCGAGTGCTCCATCTGCAAGAAGAGGTTCCTACGGCCGAGTAGCCTGAGGGCGCACATGATCGTTCACACCGCGGACTCGCCGTTCCAGTGTGACCTCTGTCCCGCCAAGTTTAAGAGGTCCTCCGTGTTGAAGACGCACAAACTGACGCACACCGGTGTCAGAAGGTTCGAGTGCGACATCTGCAAGCACCGGTTCCATCTCAAGGGCGCCTTGAAGCATCACATTTTGTCGCACTACGGTGAGATACTGCCGCTCCGTAGAGTAAATTTGACGGTAGTTTTGGTAGTTTTCAGGGTTGATCATATAAAATTTTAATTTTATTTTAATTTAATTCGTCTATTAATTTGATATAAAATTTTAATTTCATTCTAACTTGATTTATTTTCTTCTAATTTTAGCTCGTCAGTTTGGTAATTGTAGAGTTGTGGTAACTAGTCTTAGTAATTAATTCTGACAACGTTAGAGTTTGGTAACGAGGTTATATGCGAAGGCTATATCGAGTTTCGGATATTTTTTGCAACAATTGCTTTTCTTTTTCTAATTTTTTTAATATTAACATCTACATATCGCGAAAGAAGAGCTTGTTACATGTTACATGTTATGCGCGATATAAAGACTGTCGCAATTATCTCGATGAAACTTGAAAATGAAGTCAGAAAATGAATATAATATATAAAAATTACCAGATATTGCCTTGACCAATATAATCAATCTCACTACAGCGTTGAAGAAATGTCAAAATGTTTCGTACACCACACGTAATATAGAAATATTCATTATGCTATATATAACTGTGTGGATTATTTTGTCTTTACCTGAAAACCTTCACTTTGCAATTCTCATAATAATCTTCGATCTAACGCGTAATACGTAACCATTATTATTTTTAAGATTGAACAGATTCGCAACACTGGCGTGCCACACGTTTTTTATATCGGGAAATGTGCACGAGATTTCCTTGATCTGGTCTATTGTTCTACTTGTCAGCGCTCGTAAAAATGAACAGGAAAAGGATGAGATAAATAATAAAATTGCGAGCAGGTCGCGCCCGGTTTCTTAAATGTCTAGTTTACAACCGAAACGTTATCCGCCAGTTAAGTACGCGTCTATCGTATATCTTGAAACGCTCTTGGAACCCCTTTCTTGCGACGTGAAAGGGTTAATTGGCAGGCGTGTAAGATCCATAGTCCTTGATTTTCTAATTAATACGGACCTCCCTCGGTTAATCGCTGTAAAACAGTGGCGTAAGTGGCTTATCTTGTGATATTTATGTCTCAATACCGCGAATTTACATGAGTGTATACGAGAAAGAAAAAAAAAGAAAAAAAAAAAAAGAAGTAAAAACCGCGATGAGGGAATTTCAGGACGGTCTTCGTGAGCAGAGGCAGTTTCATCCGCGCCGTAAGACGTTTCTTGGTTCCGTGATTTCATTCACAATTAGCTGTGAGAATATTTACATCAGGTCTGTCTGCATACATCTTGTCTTACACGCTTGTGAAATTGTTCATCTAATAGATTCATCACCTAATATCTTCTTACTACCGTTAAATGCAGATACACAGAAATTAATTAACATGAAATTTCTGAACAGAGAGAAAATGGCGTTTCGAAAATATTTCAAAGCATGAAGAGCTCGACACAACGAAAAAAGATGCAAAAGTCAACGATCGCTATTATTATTCTCAACTCGATATATTTAATCCTTGATATCAGGCGGGACCAGATACAATCTTTTTTATACAGTTCAAAACTTTCACATGCTAAGGCTACAAAATAATATGCATATACACTAACCTTTCCATCGAGTTAGGACTACAATCTCACAATTTTTCCTGTTTCATGTGACTCTGAAATAAACCGAGAGAAGCTAAATATATCTTCGTAAGAGGAACCTAGTTAGCGAGAGTACAAAAATTTCATTGACACGTTCGAGATCAATTATTCTAGAAATTTATACCGTCGTCGATGATTATTAAAATAACGATTAAAATTACCTCGCTTTGGTAATTAATGAAACGTAATTTGATCTCGTAGGAGTGAGGCCGTACAAGTGCGAGGACTGCGGCAAATGTTACAGAAGATCGTGGGGCCTGAAGGTACACAGATATCGTCACACGGGGGTGAAACGATTCGAGTGTGACTTCTGTAAATCACGATTCAGCGTGAAAACGAAATTGGCCAAGCACATTTACGGCCACATCGGCGAGAAACCGTACAAATGCGACTTCTGCGGTCGCCAGTATGGAGAACGATACCAACTGAAGGCACACAAATGCGGAAATCCGCCAAGGATGAAGACTGGCCCATCGTATTCAGACACGGTCACTCAGATCGTGTTCTTTCGTCCTAAATCGACGAACAGTTCCGTTGATTTGAATTCAAAGATTCGACGATTGTAATTATCCATCGACGTTACAATTTATCAATTTATTTCTTAAAAATCGTTTAGATGAACGTGTGGAGAATTAATTAATTATCTCTGAAGAATTAATTAATTGTTCGACTGATGAAAACCAGTTATTAATAATGGAAAATTGAACGATGTAAACGTAGAACATGTTTTACTCGAGTTCTCCAGTTTGTAAAATATTTACGAGCAAGAAATTCTCGAGAACTTCATTTGCTTCAGACATATTCAATAACGACAGCTCTTGAAAAACTTTATCATAAAGTTGTATCCACATCCTGTTCTCCAAACTGGATAGTTTCTTAATTACAGAAATTCTTCGAATTACAAAATTAATAATAACTGATCATCGTCCGATATGGTCAATCTTGATCTTTGTAAATATCGACACGTACTTTATTTTCTGATTAATTAATCAACAATGCTTGTCTCATGTTTGTTTAAAATCGTCTAGAATCTCTGAGGAATTAATTAATTACTGGACTGATAGAAACCTTTATAAATATAAATATAATGTAATTTAACAAATAATATACATATTTCAAAGAATGGGATCCAAGTTTAACTCGTTAACTGATTAAAATTATCTTTAAATCACGTTGATTATTTCTGTCAACTATAAGCTACTAAACCTACACGTGCAACATCTCGTCGACACGTTGCCACTGATCAGTCACGTTTATATTTAATAGGGGCTTATGATACGATTGGTATTTGCATGCTTTAATAAAGAATCTCGCTTAATAAGCACTCTGCCGTGGAACAAAAGTCCGATTAATACCAGGCTGGATCGACAGGATTCCGATTGCCAGTGCCTACATCGAAGCTAGCACGACTTCGGGTTCGTCATCAAGGTGGCTCGCGTAATCATAGTGGTTGCTCGGCTATCGTCGAGACGTGATCGAATTCGTTCGCGATGAACGCGCGGCAGTGATTGTTTAATCGAACATATGTACGTGGACTGTCGTTTCGTTACTGTCATCCGATGGGAACAGGTTTCTTATTGAGTCTCGAGTCTCTGAACACTTCGTCGATGACATTTCCTGTTATTTTCATTAATTGAATTTTTTTTGCAGAAGTGGTTTCTCTGACTCTCTAGGATACTCCGTTTCTGCATGCAATCGTTGTGACTGGAAATTAATTGCAACAATGCTGATGCAACGCGATATAATTGCGCGCCCGATGATAATATCAAGAAATCTGTTGCATAATTGAACTGATTATTTGAAATTTTATAAATTAACGGTACCGACAGATCCTCTTGCGTAACAGTAAGGAGGATAAATAATAAAACAACGGATTCCTACGGAACAATTGTATAAATCAGGATTCTGCTAATTGACGTAAAATTGTAGAACCGGTTTATGCAACAGAAGTTTATAATCTAGCAGCGATTGTATCAGCTGGCAAAGGAAATTTGTAAGATTCATGAATCTTGAAAATGATCGTTTGCATGAGCTACTATCTCTTGAACTGTACAGATAAACTGCCATCTTCGAAAGCTATATACAATTGATCATATGTGATTTATAATGTAATTTGTCCTGTGAAGTATTTACCAACTAATATTAAACTCGTTTGTTATTAATATTCGTTCGTTAATATTGAATGTTAAGGAATACAAAATTTTTAATTAGTCGCTGGCTGTGTATTATCTTGCATTTGATGATACAGAGTGGATATTATTCGCAGAATAATTTCCTTTGTTCCTCCTATTTTGCAGCATAATTATCCTGCTTGAAGTATTATTGAAATATATTAGAATACAAAGGATAATATATAACTTTGTTAATCATTTTATCAATCAGACTGCAGGGAATTTCAAAGTGCGAAATTAGCTAGATAAAATATACAACATGCATTCCATAACGTTTAATTCGTAAAATTAAAATTGAATTAAATTTTTCACCAAAGTTTCTGAAAAACAAAAAACCACATCACCATCTCAAGTAACTTTATCATGAGATACAATTAAAATTATACAGTAGAATTATTTTTCTGAACGAAATTTATAATTTTACGAGATTGTTAAGTTGATCAAACTGTCGAATACGCTCGGTGAAAAATTGAACGATCCACCGCGGAAAGATCGAGTCGAGGAAGTCAACGGATGTAGGATCCGTCGCGTTTAACAAAGACCTCGTGGTCGCGGAATCCTTGTCAAGGGTGCATTATATAATTTGATCCCGATAACGCATGGGAACCCGCATGCTGGTCGGCCTCAACTGTATCTCGAGCACGTGGGCCCCGCTTGTGTCGCCGCACGTGAGAATGGTAGTTTAAGGTGCGTGGTCACAGCGGGGGCTCGCATACAGTAATCCGAGAAGAACCGCCCTTTTATCTGATTGCATCTGTGATTCGCGAGCCTCCACGAGTAACCCTTTGACAATGCCGCCGAGCACGTCGCCCCCCTCCCACCCCCTGCCTGCGTTCCTTCCGTCTCTATTCGCGAATTCTCCGCGTGTTACGGCCCTTTCGGACCTCGAACACAATTCTCCCGTAATTTGCATCTTCCAATTGCCTAAATTCGGATGGCACGCGGTCACGTTGCGACCAAGAAATAGATTCAACGTGTCGACGAAATTGAATAAGAGACAGAATAAATTGCCGAATTTGGCGAAATTTGAAGATTATTCGCGTTTCACAATGTGCTATTTATTTTTCAATACAACGTCCAGTCATATAATGATTAGAATCAAGCTGGATCTTGCTTAAAGTTAACTATGATATTTTTACTATATTCTTGTATCATTTGATTACTTACTGTGTAATAATTTTATGTACAATCCCTTTATTTGAACCACTATTTGTCGAATAGTTTCACAATGTGCTATTTATTTTTCAATACAACGTCCAATCACATAATGATTAGGATCAGGCTGGATCTTGTTTAAAGTTAACTATGATATTTTTACTATATTCTTGTGTCATTTGATTACTTACTGTGTAATAATTTTATGTACAATCCCCTTATTTGAACCACTATTTGTCGAATATCTTAATGTTACCTGGCAGGAAGTTCTCGATCAAAGGTTTTCGAAATATTGAAACCTTCAGGTTTATAAAGTGCTGTTATATTTGCTCGAATTACGTGATAATAAAAAAATTAGCCACTTCAATACAATTTCTGAAGACGAAAAAATTCCAATGTTTTCGAATATTTATCGAAAGATCGAGAATATATTGCTATAGTTAATTACTAACTAACGTTCTCTTTTATTCTGACATAATTAAGATATTCGAATAAATAAAGATTCATATAAGAAATACTTTACCGTATAATATTATAATTTAATATTAAAATATTATACAGTAATTATTAATTTAATATTATAATATTATACAGTAAAGTTAAGAAATACTTTATAATATTATAATTTAAATCGGAAATAATAAAACGCAGTATACTTCGTTTACTACGTATCTTTGAGCGTTCTGAGGAATTGTTGCCGCATTAAAATAACATAAAACGGTACCGTCAGAATATAAAAGGCTGAGTTCCCAACGAATCGGCAAAATCGTCCAACAATCTTCTTCTCTCACAGGTTAAAACGAAATTTCGTTTATAAAGGACGGACGACTGTATTCCTCGTTTCAACGTTCTTTTCGCAACGTTCCCTCGCGATTTTTCACGGACTCTAGCCGCGGTGTTGCGCAAAGGAAACGATAGTCGAAAGCGCGTCTGACTCACAGTGACGGACAGCGTACGAGGTAGCATACTTGTATCGCGATCGTGGAAAAGAGAAGAAAAAAAGAAAGAAGAGAAAAAAAAAGAAAAAGAAAGAAAATACCCGCGGCACGATTTTGACACATCGCTTCCTCGCCGCGTCGCCGCATTTAAATACCACGGATTTCTCGTTCATATTTCTCGCCTAATTATGCCGGCCTCGCGGAGATCTTACGATCTGACAGTTGAGAGTCGGCGAGTACAACGGCGGCCTTATGCAGAGTCACGCCAACTTCTAATTATTTAGATAGCGATCGTTGAGCTTTAATTATTTCTCCACCTCCTACATTCCCCTCCCACCGCTCCCTTCACCTTCTTCGTTCGCTATCAATGCGTGTGTGCATCTCCCCCCCCCCCCCCCAACTATGGTTGCTCTATTCACCGGTTTATGCTAATGAGGACCCAGCGCGCAGATACCGAGCGCCGATATTGTTTTGCCGTAGACGGTCCCTAATTGCATGTTCGCCGCGTTATTACTCGGCTACCGCCGGTGAAAACAGCGTGGCTAATCCCTTCGACGTGATTTCGCGCGTAATCGCGATCATTTCCCTGACGAACACCGAGCGAACGTTACGGTATCACGTACGGACGATGAATACCGTGGTTTCGGAGTTTTCCACATTATCACAAGAGCGAATCGTGTACGCGCAAGAACACGAGTCACGGTATTTGTCGATCGAGATTTGGATTTTAGATTGACGACTGTGAGAATAGTTGAATTACTTGTCTATTTATCGATGTGTACTAACGTGCACGCAGGCACGAATTAAGTAGAATCAGGAAGTGCTAGTTGGACACACGACATTGATCCTTAATTCTTAATTCTGGCATTATTGGACGATTATTCGTGACCAAAATTTCTTGTTTTATTATTAATTTAATAGTTATTAACTTTGTTGAATTTCTAATGAAATAATTTCTGAAATTTTAGTAATCTAACGTATTACAGTGAAACGCAGATAATGTTAAAGTACTATTTGAAAATTGGGTTTAGGTTAGTATTATTCGTATCTTTGTTGATTTTTAATTCTCAGATATGAGCAAGTGTTTTAGTATTTCCTGGGACACGTTAATTTCACGTAAAGTTGAATATCAATCGGTGTTGTAACTGAGAATTTAAAATCGATGATATTTATAATTTCACAGTAGTCGAAGGATAAATTATTAAAAAAAATTATTCGTTTCTGCAATAAAATACATCATGTTATAAGTACTGAATCAGGCAATGATTCTTTAAATTTGTAAATGAGACGAATGAAATTCAACGAACAAAAAT